GAGGGTGGGCAGGAGGATGATACAGACAGACTTCAGCCTGGGGTAGGTGAGACACCTTTGCACAGGGGCAGGGTGGGAGCCTCAGCCACCTCCTTGAGCAGGGAAAAGAAGAGACAAGTGCAACCCGATGGGCTTGAGAGGTACCTCTATTTCCTGATTCACTCAGGAGTAACACTGCCTGACTCCCACCGCCCAGCTGTGGGCTGGAGGTTTGGAAACGGGAAGTTGCAAGTGTAAGGGATCAGGTCTGGGCATGGACCCCACGATCCTTTCCACCTTCTGCCAGATGCAAGGAAGGACCCATCGGGCAGGACTCAGGCTTCGGCCACGATCAGGTCCCTGGTGCACTGGAAAGCTGCGATGAGGGAGCTCAGCTGGATCTTCTCACTGGTCCCAGCAGCCAGACGGTACCTGGAGCAGGGGGCAAGGGTTTGGGTGTTCACACCAGCATCCTCATCCTGACAGAGCAACAGGCAGGACCCAGCACAGCGTGGCAGCGGTGACCCCCCTGGGGTGGGTGCACTGGCAGCCCCCCAGCTCTGGGGTTATGGGGTAAGGAATGGGGCTGAATGGCCACTTACTCAATATCTGCCATTTTAATCAGCAGCTGGATGCGCACCGAGGGTGGGAAATCGACTGTGGAGAGAAGGAGATGGCCCATGTCATGCTGTGGGAGGACACAGGGTTGCCCCTCACAGGGTCAGCCCCACAAGCCCCTACCTCTGTGCACGAAGAGGTGGATCTCAGTGAGGATGTCCTGCAGGGCCAAGCCCTTCAGCGTCTTCAGCTCCATGATTCCTGAGGTGGGAGCGAGTGAAGGGTTTTATCCAGGCTTTGCCTTGCAAGATCCCACTCCTCATCCTCACCATAACCCCAAGGACCCTCCCCATGGAGCAGCATCCCCCCACCCAGCCAGAGCGGGAGGTCCCAGGCTGGGAAGCACCAGCAAAGAAGAGGATGTATAGCAGCACGGATCAAACGCCGTGGCCAGGGGAGGGGAAAGGATACTGCGGTAGGCGGTGGAAAAGTCCTGGTTCAGCATCCACTCGAGGATGTTGGCGATGTCAGACTCAAGGGGGTGCCCCGTGCACGTGTAGACGTTCTCCTCCGTCACCTTCCCGAAGGCCATGGTGGTGCTCTGAGGAAGAGGAAGGATGAAGAGCTCGGACCTTCCTCCTGACTCCTCCAAGCTCCCACAAGGAGAGGGTGGCTGTGGCCATGCCCATACCTGCAGGATATTGAGGGCTCTGCGCATGTCACCGCTCGAGAGGGTCACCAGAGCCTTCATCCCATCCTCGGTCACATCCACCCTGGAAAACAAGACCTGGGGCTGCCGGCAGGAAATACAGCCACGTGGACGGGGCCCTCAGTGACATGGGTTAGTGGTGGTTTTGGTAGTGCTGAGGAATGGTTGGACTTGATGAGCTTAAAGCTCTTTTCCAACCCAGCTGATTCTATGGTTCTGTTGGGGCTGTTCAGCCTGGAGAAGAGAAGCTGCGTGGAGACCTCAGAACAGCTGACCGTGTATG